TTTCCTTCACCAGGTTATGAATGTTTTCTATTATTTTCTATTATTATTCTTACTAGGGGCCTCGTGCACGAAATTTGTGCACTGGGAGAGGGTAACCTCTGCCAGCCTGCTCCCTCTAACAGACTGAGAGCCCTCAGGGGATGTTCTATTGACAGCTTATGCCACAATCTGGCCTCCCTCTGCAAGAGGTGACCTGGCTGATCAGGGGAAGGTGCCAGCCCCATCACCCCACTGCTGCAGCCACTGCAGCCATCGCAGTCACCAAGGTGTTTCATTAACAAGGATTCTAGTCCCTTCACCATGAAAAAAATGACAAGTTTTTTAGGCATTTTCAAGATTTATCTTTCATAGGATATGACATTTCTTTATTTCTTTTTTATCCTTACCTGAGGATACGTTTCCATTGATTTTTAGAGTGTGGAAGAGAGAGGGATAGACAGAGAGAAACATCAGTGTGAGAGGGACACTTCAATTTGTTGCCTCCTGCATGAGCCCTGACCTGGACCCTGGCCAGGGAGGAGCCTGCAATCTAGGTACATGTCATTGATCAAATTGAACCCAGACCCTGCAGTCAGCAAGCTGAGGCTCTATCCACTAAGCTAAACTGGCTAGGGCAGGATATGACATTTCTTAGCCCCTCTAGCAGTGGACCTTCATTTTTTCCTCTAGCAGTGTGGTGGAAAAACCCTAGATTACCTTCTTGGATTCTTATAACCAAAGTTACCAAGTGGTGGTGTATAGGGAGCTTAGCCAATGTGCGGTCAGAAAAGGTGTTTACACTCAAACCGGTTTGGCTCAGTGGATAGAGCACTGGCCTGCAGATTGAAGGGTCCCAGGTTTGATTCCTGTTAAGTGCATATCCCCAGTGGGAAATGTGCAGAAGGCAGCTGATGGATGTTTCTCTCTCATTGATGTTTCAGATTGTCTATCCCTCTCCCCTCTTCTCCATTAAAAAAAATAATATATATATATATATATATATATATATATATATATTAAAGAAAAAGTTGTTTCCTCTGCAGCTCATGCAAAGAGGACCCCCTGCGTTGTGTCCACTGAGCTAGGGGCGTGTCCCTCCAGGCCGACAGCCCCGCTTTGTGGGCACCGGGCTGGAGGACATGCAGACTTAGACCGCTGCTTGGCCCCGGCGCATACGCAAGCTGCTGCAGGCCTGGAACATCCACTTGGAGCCTGTAGGCCCAGAGTGGCCAAAGGCATTCTGGGATGCCGGCCACTCAGGGTCTACACACAGACCTACAGGTTAGGAGCAGCCTGGGCCCTGAGGATGTCTCCAGGATCCAGGCCGCTTGGCACTTGCATATGCAAATTAACCCAACATCTTTGTTGGGTTAATTTGCATACTCCCTCCTGATTGGCTGGTTAGCATAGTGGAGATATGGTCAATTTACATGTTTCTTTTTTATTATATAGGATTGTTGTGGTGGTTATTAATCCTCACCCAAGCATACTTTTCTTTTGATTTTAGATAGATTAGAAGAGAGGGAGGGAAGAAGGGATGGAGATAGAAATAGGAGAGAGAGATGATGAGAGAAACATTTAATGGTTATCTTCCACACATGCCCTGATCAGAAACTAGGATAGAACCTGCAACTCTGATATATGCTCTTGATCAGGATTTGAACCCATGACCCTTCGGTGTGTGGGCCAATGTTCTAATCACTGAGCCACACTGGCCATGGGTCTGTCATTATTTCTTCAATTTCTCCATCTCTTGTTCATATTCTTCTTCTGGTACCACTATGATGCAGATGTTGTTCCATTTCACAGTGTTGTAAAGTTCCCTTAAATTCTCCTCAAGCCTTTTAAGTGTTTTTCTTTTTGCTGCTCTAATTGCTTTTTCCTATCTTCTCTTCCAAATCACTGCTTCTACCTCTGCTTCATCAAGCCTGCTTTTAATTCCTTTCAGTGTCATATGTGTATGACAGATTCAGTGTTCATTTCTTACTTGTTCTCATTCATGGTTTCTATGCTCTTTTCATGCGGATGCAGTCCCCATTAAATTCCTTTCAGTTCTGTTAGGGTCCTTGAGCACTGTTATAACCATTCCTCTGAACTCTGATAGACTGCTTACCTCCATCTCAGTTCAGTCTTCTTCTGGAGAGTTCTCCTTTTCTTTCATGTCAGGGTTTTTTCTTTATCTCCCCATTTTATTGTCGCTTTGCATTTGTTTCTATGTATTAAATATACTAGCTTTGACTCCCAGTCTTTGTGGGGTGGTCTTTTTGCAGTATATATCCTGTGGAACCCTGTGGTGCAGTCTCCTTGAACTCCTGAGCTGGATGCTCTAGGAGTGACCCTTTTGTGGGTATTTGGGCTCTACTGCTGCATAGGGTTTTGACTGCTATTGTCCAGTGTGTGAGTGGGATCTCCTCTCAAGCTGGCTCTGAGGCTCCACCCACACCAAGTCATGCAAGCTGTTGTACAGGACTAAACAAAATAGGAAACAAACAAAACCATACAAACGAACCTGACAACAGCAAAAACAACCTCAAAAGAAAATTAAGAAAAAAAGCCCACAAGAATAAGTGAAAAAGAAATAAAGCAATACTAATCTATAATCTATACTAATAAAAGGGTAATATGCTAATTAGACTGGGAGAACTTATGGACATCCTTCTGGACAAAGCTATGGTGGCAGGTCCAAAGCAGAGGTGGTTAGGGGCTGTCAGGACAGGAGTGAAGGGCAGTTGGGGGCAAGCAGGCCAGCAGTGGAGGGCAGTTGGGGGTGACCAGGCCGGCAGGGGAGGGGTTTGAGCAAGCAGGCCAGCAGGCAGAGTGGTTAGGGGTGATCAAGCAGGCAGGCAGGTGAGTGGTTAGTAGACAGTGGTCCTGGATTGCAATCAGACATCTCTCCAGGGGTCCCAGGTTGGAGAGGGTGCAGGCTGAGCTAAGGACAACCCCCCCCCCCCACCCACAAATTTCATGCACTGGGCCACTAGTAATAATAATAAAAGCATAATATGCTAATTAGACCAGACACCCAAACAACCTTCTGGATGACCTTCCGGATGAAGCTGGAGGAAGCCACCGCAGCTGGGAGGGCCGAGCCCTTTGCACAAATTTTGTGCATCAGGCCTCTAATAATCAATAAAACTAAAATAATACTAGAAGAGAAATTGGAATGAAAAAAGAATCTGAAAGGAAAGAAAGGAGAGAAAACAATTAGAATAAAGAACAGATAAAGGAAAATGATAAAAAGGAAAAGAAAGATATAGAAAGGTAAAAAAAGAGAAATAGCAGAGTAAGAGAAGGAAAGGTAAATAAAAGATATGAAAGAAACAAGAGAGAAATGAGAAAAAAAAATAACAATACCAAAGCAATAGAAGAAAAAACAACAACAATATTACCAATAAGTGAAGTTCTTCTCAGCAGACAGTAGGGCCTAGTAGGCTTTCCCTTTGGTTCTGCCCTGTGCTGTCTGTGGCTAACCTCTCTGCATGCTCATTTGGGGCCTCCTGGGCGGTACTTCTGTGCTAGCCAATGTCAGAAGCGGTACAAGTTTGGCTCAACGCCCTGTTCAACGCTTCCAGCAATCCACAGCTTGTGGCTGCCTCCACTGGGCTTGACTGCCCACTGCAGGTGTCAAGATGAGCTCCTAAGCTGTTTGTTTGTTTGTTGGCAGCACAGGCCCCTGAACAGGTCAGCAAATGTTCAGAATTCAGGGAAGATTGTGAAGGTGTTCCTGCACTATTTCCCGTCTTCCGCAGGGCAGCGTCCCTCTCAGGCAGGCCAGTGTGGTGTGCCAGAGCCAGGGGTTCTGTCAGCTCTCCTATGCGAGGGAAGTGCCAGGCAGGTTCCTGTGACTGTGGGAGGAATGTTCCCACCTCAAACCCAGCCCTGAAGCTCCTGAGACTGCCGCCCAGAGCTGCTTCCTCCTGAGCGGCCTCAGATGCAAGGTGGAGCATGCTGGGCTCCTCAGGGAGGGAGCGCGTTCCACGGGGGGTTTGCCTTTCTGCAGGCTGCATGTTGGGAGGGATTTGGGCCTTTCCAGAAAAACAGCTGCTGTGATATTGCAGTGGGGGATGGCTCAACACAGGTGTCCCAATAGCGCCCTTGTCACAACTCCTTCCAGCTCCTACCCGTCTCTTCAGACAACTTGGCCGCACCACATTTCTCCACAGAAACCTAGTGAGCGTCTTAGAGCGGAAATCCTGTGCCCCAGCCCTCGTGGCTTTGTCTTCAGATGGCTCAGCTACGGGGCCGACAGAAGCGCTGCCAGTGCTGCGCGGGCAGCTGTTCCAGCTCTGGCTCCCGCCTGGGCGGCTGCCTGACCCGGCCCTTCTCCTCTCCGGGACCTTCCTCTCCTGAGCAGCACTCCTGAGCTGGGCGAGGCTGTCCTGCCCAGCAGTCTCAAGGTGGTTTCTGCCCTTCTGTGTAAAGCCTCCTCCACCAGTCTGCGGCTGTTATTTTAGGGTAAATATTCCCCAATTTAGTTTCAATTCCAGTTAGATTCTACATGGCACCTCCTACCACACTCCAATCACTTTTGTTGGCATTTATTTTGTTATTTAACAGTACCTCTGTCTCCCCATCAAACCTAATGCTATAATGATAAGACTCCATTGGAGAAAAGACAAGAGCAATATATTCTAGTCACAATAGCAAAATAGGGTCCAATTCTTTTATTCCCCTTCATTTTTCCACCAAGATACCCGAGTAAAGCCCAAATTTCAGATATAGACAGTAAGAACATGGGCCTTGAAGCCAAAATGCCTGGTCACAAATTCTGGTTCAACTTACTATCTGTGTGACCTTTGACAAATTCCTTAATCTCTGTGCCTCAGTTTCTTCATCATCAGATGAGGATAATAACAGTCCTTACTTGTTGGGTTATATGAGTAAAAATAAGCACAGTGCTTAGCACGGCATCTCTGACATCAGATGCTCAGTAAGTATTAGCTATTATTGCTCCTTGTGGTTTGGATGCCATTACATGTTGCCAGTGGAGTTTGCCACCGGCTCTTAAATTGCAGACTTACCTTGGCACCAGCTAATTCCTTCATCATAAAGAGAGAATCATCAGCTCGTTCATCATCATCGTCGTCATAATTTGGGGAAGAAACTCCCTCTGCTCCTTGCCTTGATAGGCTGCCACTTCCTCTCGGATCAAACGGGTCTACCACAATGGGCTCCGTCCCTTTAATTTCACACCGGCAGAAAGGACAGCCCTGGCCTTCTGACTCCTGCAGAGAAGCAGGAGATGGTGACAGGCACATCTGAAAGCACTTCAAATAGTCACCCACCACGAAGTAATTTGGAAAAAGAAAGAAAAAGTTCCTCTACCCCACACACCAAGCCATCCTCTACATTCGACCCCGATCTTCCGAAGGCTTACACACTGTGAAAACGCATGATTTGGATCCATACCTGCCAGGATGTCAGACAGGAAGTGCACATGAGGTGTCCACAGGGCTCGATCTTCACATCCTTATCATTCTCGGCACATATTTTACACAGTTGGAATGTGGAGCCCATCTCACAGTATAATTCATATTGTTCCTTTGATTAAAATAAAAATAAAAAACAAGTTACTCAGCCTATTTCAGGTATTTGTTGAATGAACGAATGCAACCATAAATGCTAAAAACAAAAATATTAAAGACCGTTACTGTCCATACAAATTTTGCTTGTACAAAAATTTCACCATCACAAGAATTTCACATCAGTGGTCACTGTTCCCTCATAGCACAGAATTACCTGGTCTTGGTCCTACTTGAAGCAGCACAGTTCAAAGAGAAACCACATGAACATAACTTCACTAATGTCGTCAACGGTTTAAGTTTAAGTATTCAGTCACTGAATACAATTCTCCTGGCAGCTCATTACGTCCACACAAACTGACTCCCGTGAAACGGTTACACATCAGCAAAGCTCACCTGCGTCACTTTGATGTGGTCTTGGGGCGTCGGCTCACACAGGCCTGTCAGGTCGGGATTCTGATTCCGCCCATCAGGAAACAAGTAGCTGTGAGCGGAGAAAGCGTTCACTCAAGTCCATGGTCAGCCCTCGCTAACACAGCACATGGCATTTAGGAATCCCCTCACTGTCAAAGGGCCGCTTTGCAAAAAGTGCCAGGATAAACCTCACTAACACCTCCAGAAACACTTCAGAGGCAACATTCTCCTACAACTGCTATCCTTCCTCCAGGGCGTGCTGCTGCAGGTCCCACCTTTTAATCAAAGAATTGACAAGCTTTTTCTGTAAGGCCTGACAGTAAATACTTTAGGCTTTGCAAGCGATAAAGTCACATGATCTTTGTGTGTGTGTTCTTTTTAACGCTTTATTTTTTTATTATGGTGTCACATAATTGTCCTCATCCCCCCATTCCATCCCTAACCCCTCCCCACATATGCCCACCCCTTGTCGTCCATGGCCACTGGTTGGGCTTAATGCATGCACTCAAGTCCTCTGGTTGATCTTTCCCCTTTCCCCCCACCCTCCCCTACCTTCCCTCTGAGGTCTGACAGTCTGATCGCTGCTTCTCTGTCTTTGGGTCTTTTTTGTTCATCAGTCTATGTTGTTCATTATTTCCCCTAGATGTGTCAGATCATGTGATACAAGGAATTCCCTTATAAGGACCGAAACTGAGACAAGCCATAATGGCTATGCTAAGAGGCAGATGAATCAGTCTGAAATGAATTCCTTTCTGGGCCAACAGGACTCCCTGCCACCACCTGGGGACCCCCGCCTGCACCCTCACTAGCTGCCTGGGGCCAGGCCTCAGCACCTGACACTACGGGTTGGGGACTGCTGGGTGAGGCTGCCCAGCCCAGGCTGGGAGGAGGCCGGCGGAGGGCCCTGGCCTGCACATGGCCCTTCGTGGAGCCTCCACATTTCCCCAGGGCACCCAGACATGGGCAGCTGTGGGAGTCCCAAGCTGCTGGCTCCGTGGTTAGAGCAACCACTGTAGGGCCCTGGGCCCAGCCCTGATGCAGAGGGAGGACAGAGCTAGTACTTATTTCCTTCTCCGCCCCAGCCCGCCCTTCTGCTGCCTGCGCCCGCCCCATGGGGAGACAGCAGAGCCGCTGGTCGGAGCCACGTTGCCTTTGCACAGCGGTGGGTCAGCCTCCAGCATAGCGGCTTTTTCAGTCATTTATGAGCAGAAAAAACATTGAAATAAAACTTCATTAATGTTAACCCTCAAAAACAACAACAAAAGAAAACAACTCTAACAACACTTTAAAATGTATCTTAGACAGAACAGTGGGCCTATGTGCCAGTGTGCCAACCCTGTTTTAATCGATGGATGGCCACAAAGTATAAATTCTTAATTTAAACTGCATTTGCTTTAAAAAAAAAATCTTCATTGTTGAGAATATCACAGATGTCCCCTTCTTGGCCTTCCCCCCTCCCCCTGGACCCCATACCACCCTGACCTTCACCACCTATTATCTGTGACCATGGGCAATGCGTATATGCTTGTAAGTTTGTTTAATCTCTACCCACCTTCCCTTACTCCTTCTCTCTGAGATTCATCAGTCTGTTCCATATTTCCATGCTTCTATTTTATGCATTATAATAGTTTATTTTGTTCATTAGATTCCTTGTTCGATTGATTTTTAGATTCAATTGTTGATAGATATGTATTTATTAGAGGTCTGGAGCACGATATTCATGCGGGGGGTGGTGTCCAGTCTGCCCCCTTTAGCAGTCTGGGAGCCCTCAGGAGATGTCCGACTGATGGCTTAAGTCCACGCCTGTAGATGCCAAAATCAGCGGGCACTCCTTTAGGTAACTGCTTTTCTCTTGCTGCTTTTAAATTCTCTTTTGGGCCTCATTGGGTTCATCTTGTTTGGGACTGTCTGAGCTTCCTGAACTTGTATGTTTATTTCTTTTACTAGGTAGGGGAAGTCTGTTGATTAATTTTTCAAATACGTTTTCAATTTCTTTATTTTATTTTTTTCCTTATTTTTTAAAATTATTATCTGTGTATCTTACCATTAATCCCCCCTCCCACACATATCCTCCCTTCCCAGAGTTTTGTGTCCATTTGTTGTACTTATATGCATGTAAACAAGTCCTTCGGTTGATCTTTTATCTCCCCCAGATCTCCCTACCCTCCCCACTGTAATTTGACAGTCTGCTGGTTGCTTTACTGTCTCTATATCTATCTTTTGGTTCATCAGTTTATAATGTTCTTTATTATCCATAAATGAGTGAGGTCATGTGGTATTTCTCTTTCATTATTGACTGGCTTACTTCACTCAGCTGATGTTCTCCAATTCCATCCAGGTTGCTGCAAACGATGAGAATTCCTTCTTTTTTATGGCAGCATAATATTCCATTGTGTAGATGTACCATAGTTTTTGGATCCGATCGTCTGCTGGCGGGCACCTAAGCTGTTTCCAAATCCTAGCTATTGTAGATTGTGCTGCTATGAACATAGGGGTGCATATATCCTTTCTGATTGGTGTTTCTAGTTTCTTGGGATATATTCCTAGGAGTGGGATTTCTGGGTCAAATGGGATTTCCATTTTCAGTTTTTTGAGGAAACTCCATTCTGTCCTCCACAGTGGTTGCACCAGTCTGCATTCCCACCAGCAGTGCACGAGGGTTCCTTTTTCTCGCCAACATTTGTCATTTGTTGATTTGTTGATGTTGGCCATTCTGACTGGTATGAGATGGTACCATATTGTTGTTTTGATTTGTATCTCTCGGATAATTAGTGACTTTGAGCATGTTTTTATGTGCCTCTTGGCCTTCCTTCTGTCTTCTTTTGAAAATATTCTATTTAGGTTCATTGCCCATTTTTTAATTGGATCATTCATCTTCCTTTTATTTAGTTGTATAAGCTGTCTGTAGATGTTGGAGATTAAACCTTTATCAGTGATAACATTTGCAAATATGTTTTCCCATACAGTTCTTGTTTTTTTGTTTTGTTTTGTTTTTAAATATATTTTGCTGATTTTTTATAGAGAGAAAGAGAGAGGGATATAATTAGAATCAACAATGAGAGAGAATCATCGATCAGTTGCCTCTTGCACACTCCCTACTTGGGATGTGCCCACAACCAAGATACATGCCCTTGACCAGAATCGAACCCTTTCAGTCCCCAGGCCGACGCTCTATCCACTGAGCCAAACCAGTCTCAGCGCTTTCTTGTTGTTTTGTTGATGGTTTCTTTTGCTGTAAAAAAAGCTTTTTATTTTGATGTAGTCCCATTGTTTATTTTCTCTTTAGCTTCCATTGCCCTAGGGGCAGTATCAGTGAAGAAGTTCTTTTGGCATATGTCTGAGATTTTGCTGCCTGTGGATGCCTCTAGTATTTTTATGGTTTCCCGTCTTATGTTTAAGTCCTGTATCCATTTTGAGTTTATTTTTTTGTTGGTGTAAGTTGGTGATCTAGTGGTTTTCAGTTTCTTGCTCCCTCTCTTCTCCTTCCCGGATGGCACTCCATGATGTGGATGTTGGATTCTTGTTTTTAATGCTATTCTGATGGCTGTTTTTGCTTCCTCATATTCCAAATCATTGATTTGATTCTTGGCATCTTCTACTTTACTGTTGATTTCCTATAACATAGTCTTCATTTCAGTTAGTGTATCTTTAATTTCTGACTAATCTTTTTTTCTTTATGTCTTTGATGCTCTCAATAAATTTTTTGAAGTTCTCAGTAAGATTTTGAGTATCCTGCCGAAACCAGTTTGGCTCAGTGGATAGAGCGTCGGCTTGGGGACTGAAGGGTCCCGGGTTCGATTCCGGTCAAGGGCATGTACCTTGGTTGCAGGCATATCCCCAGTAGGGGGTGTGCAGGAGGCAGCTGATTGATGACTCTCTCTCATCGATGTTTCTAACTCTCTATCTCTCTCCCTTCCTCTCTGTACAAAATCAATAAAATATATTTAAAAAAAAAAAAAAAAAGATTTTGAGTATCCTTATAACCATTGTTTTGAACTCTGTATCTAGTAGTTTGTTTGCTTCCATTTCATTTAGTTCTCTTTCTGGAGATTTCTTCTGTTCTTTCATTTGTGACATTTCTTTGTCTTCACATTTTGGCTGCCTCCCTGTGTTTGTTTTTCTGAATTAGGTATGCTTCCTGGAATTGTTAGAGTGGCCTTGTGTAGTAGGTGTACTGTAGGACCCCATGGCTCAGTCTCCCAGTCAGCTGAGCTGGCACTCTAGGTGCGCCCTGTGTGGGCTGTGTGCACAGTCTCAAGTAGTTGAGCCTTGGATGTAAGGGTGATCTGGCTGCGACATCTGTCACCCCATTGATCGCCAGGGTTGATTCGGCTGATCTGGCTGGCTCGGCAGGTGTCCCCCTCCTCCCTGCGCGCTCAGTCGAAGAGGACGACTTTCCCCCAAGAGGAGAGGACCAGTCTTCGGTCAAGGGTATACGAGTAGCTGCGCTCCCCTGCTAGAACCTCCAAACAAACTCTCATGTAGTTGAGCCTTGATTGCTGTTGGTGTCACTGGGAGGAGTTGATCTCTAGGCCCATTGGCTGTAAGGACCAGCAGTGACTAAGTGGAAGAGCTACTGTGCAGGAGACATCCCTGTGGAGCAGGACTTGCTTCAGTGGGGCTTTGCCCCTTGAGTGTGTTGCTGGTGGATGTGGAGTTGGAATCTGGTGTCTGAAGCTGTCCATTGGGTGCACTGGCTCTGGAGCCTCCCAGGAAGCGCAAAGTCTGCCACTGCCTGGGACCACCCTGCAGATGGCTGCTATTTGGAAGTATCGGGAGAGGTCAAGCTGTGAACCAAGGCAGGCTGGGGCTACTGCCAGGCCTGCAGCCACTTATCAAGAGTAATGGGGCACACTGAGGCCAACTGCTGCTTGTTTGAGAGATTTTAGGAAAGGTCTAAAGCCTGAGCCAAGACAGGCCATCCATATGAAAAAGCCACTGCAAATAGCTTGAGTGAGGCTGCAAACTGGGTGGGTCTGGGTCTTAGGTAATCACCAGGACATGGCGAAAGTATGGACCAAGTCATATCTGGTGGCTGCCTGTCAGCAACGTGGCAGGAAGGTCTCAGAGGTTCAGTGGTCTCTGCCAGCCCTTTTGTCTGGTAGAAAGCTGCCTTCAAATTCTTGCCCTAATACCAGACAACTTAGTTCCTGCCCATATGTCCCTGGATCCTTTCAAGCTGTTGCCCTATGGCTAATCAATGATTCTCTGTCATCATTGATGTCTCTCTCTCCCTCTCCCTTCCTCTCTGAAATCAATAAAAATATATTTTAAAAAATAAATTTTAAAAAGGCTGCTGCCTTAGTGCTGGTGCTCAGGGGGAGTGAGTCAGGTAAATCCGTGTGGGCCCTTTAAAAGGAACTGCCTGGGTCTCCCACAGCTTCCACATCACTCAGTCACAGTCCCTGTTGGTTTTCTTTTTCGTTTTTTACTTTTCCCCTGCTGGTTTTTATAGTCCAAGATTATAGGAACTTTGCCGAAACCGGTTTGGCTCAGTGGATAGGGCGTCAGTCTGTGGATGTAAGGGTCCCGGGTTAGATTATGCTCAGGGGCATGTACATTGGTTCCAGTTGCATCCCCAGTGGGGGGTTTGCAAGAGGCAGCTGGTCGATGTTTCTCTCTCATAGATTTTTCTGGCTCTCTATCCCTCTCCCTTCTTCTCTATAAAAATTCAATAAAATATATTAAAAAAAATTATAGGAACTTTTCTTCCCAACTCAGGGACCTTGGGCTGATGGGATCCCTATCTCCTCACAAGAGACATTTGCAGCCAGGATATACCTCCCAATTTAAAAAAAAAAAAAAAAAAAAAAAGCCAAAACTGGATTGGCTCAGTGGATGGAGCATTGGCCTGTGGACTGAAAGGTCCCAGGTTCGATTCTGGTCAAGGGCATGTACTTGGTTGCGGGCACATCCCCAGTAGGGGGTGTGCAAGAGGCAGCTGATCAATGATTCTCTCTCATTGATGTTTCTAACTCTCTATCCCTCTCCCTTCCTCTCTGTAAAAAATCAATAAAATATATTTTTTAAAAAGCCGAAACCAGTTTGGCTCAGTGGATAGAGTGTCGGCTTGGGGACCAAAAGGTCCTGGGTTCAATTCCGGTCAAGGGAATGTACCTTGGTTGCGGGCACATCCCCAGAAGGGGGTGTGCAAGAGGCAGCTGATAGATGATTCTCTCTCATCGATGTTTCTAACTCTATATCTCTCTCTCTTCCTCTCTGTATAAAATCAATAAAATAAAAAATAAATAAAAAGCAGCCACACAGGTGTCAGACAAGCCTGTTCTGTTCCTCCGCCCCTTTTACCAGTCTGAATGCAGCTTCTTTAATTCTCTAGCTTTTTTTTTTTTTTAAATATATTTTATTGATTTTGTACAGAGAGGAAGGGAGAGAGATAGTTAGAAACATCGACGATAGAGAGTCATCAATCAGCTGCCTCTTGCACACCCCCTACTGGGGATATGCCCGCAACCAAGGTACATGCCCTTGACCGGAATCGAACTCGGGACCTTTCAGTCCCCAAGCCGACGCTCTATCCATTGAGCCAAACCGGTTTCGGCAATTCTCTAGCTTTTTATTCAGTCAGATTTCAGACAGTTCTGAATGGTGACTGTTCTGTAGTTTAGTTGTGATTTTGATATGGTTATGGGAGGAGGCAAGTACCATGTTTACCTATACCGCCATTTAGGTTGACTCTCCAAACTGCATTTACTTTTGACCAAACACCTAAAATACCCTTGTTTACAGATTTTAACACTGAAAGACACCAACTTAAAAGAAATGTGACAAGAAACAAATTAAGCCACTTGAGATCATTTACCAGGAAGCTTCTAGAATCAAACTGCTCTGGCATTTGGTGAAGCTCCAAAGGTACTGTAGAAGATGATGCATTCAGACTGGTAGTTTTCTGATACCTAGTCAACATTGGTACTTTCAGTATTTACTAAGTTATAATCTGCGTAAACTCCCAAAGAAATAGCACTTCTGAAGTAAATAAGAACTTGACTGTAAACATCAGCACACATTACAAAGGCCCGAAGCCTGGGAAAAGCTGCTGAGCCAGGGGACGTCAGGAGGATGGCGTTAGGAGCAAACACCTCGTCACTCCAGGTGGCTAACGCAATAGCTGATAACATTTAAATCTAACAGACTTGAAAATAAGTTAACATTCGGAAAAGGGAAAAGATAAAGCTTACTCATAGTAATAAGTGAAGCAGTAGAGAAAAGTAATTTCATCTAATTCCTCTTAAATAAAAACAGAAGTCCTACAGAACCTGGAGGTCACAACAGTATGATTTGTTAAAACATTTCCTGAATTTCCATCTGCACAAGGAGCCCATCAAAGTCATTAATGGTGAGGTCTGACAGGCTCTGTTCCCAGACCCTAGCAGATGGCAAACAGCAGGTACTCACAAGCCTTCCCGGAAGCCGTCAATCAGAGCTTGGAAGAGAGGTTTATTGTGAGGGATTGTCTGGAGAATGTTCCCATCAGCGGTGACATACCCAATAGCCCACTGACCCAGACGAGTACAGCTCAGCCGGAATATGTAACTGAGAATAGAGGTAAACAGAATCTTTAATACATGAGAAGTTCATATTAGGGTGAAGGGACAAAAATAAAAAACCTCATCAATAATAGAATCTTCAATGACTCCAGACCAAAAAGCAAAGACACATAAGCCTAATTCTGAAGTGAATTGAAAGCATTTATCAAGTTATCAGGTCTGGCCGAGACCGGTTTGGCTCAGTGGATAGAGCGTCGGCTTGGGGACTGAAGAGTCCCGGGTTCGATTCCGGTCAAGGGCATGTACCCTGGCGGGCATATCCCCAGTGGGGAGTGTGCAAGAGGCGGCTGATCAATGACTCTCTCTCATCGATGTTTCTAACTCTCTATCTCTCTCCTTTCCTCTCTGTACAAAATCAATAAAATATATATTTTTTTAAAAAGTTATCAGGTCTGAATGAGTCAATTCCTCTGATAAACAGGCATCCATCAGCAGAAACATGGCCATTGGGGAACTAATCAAAGATCATGTTTTCTCTGTTTTAACAAAGATCATCAGAAAATAAAATTCAGGAGATAAGCCTCTGATTCATAGCGCTGACCTGCCAGGCTTGTGAATGAACTTCTGGAGCCGAGCTTTCACTTCGTCATATGTCAGGAACGCCATATAGCCAGGGTGCGTGACAGCGAGACTGTTCCAGTTCCTGAGCAGCGAGGACCAGGGCTGAGAAAACACGACATCAATTGGACCATTTGGCTTGAGACAGGCAGCCCTCCTCAGAGGGAGGGACCTCAATTCTCAATCACAAATCCCCACTTATTGTCAAAAATTTTTTATTGGATTGTCACTTTGAGGAAAGACAATGTGTTTGGGAGACAGGAACTGTGAAAACCTAAAAAGAAACAAATATATCTGTATAGAAAAAAACTTTACAAACTAAAATTTAAAAAAACTTTAAAGCAGTTCCAACGAACAGCTGTGAGGTTAGACACAAGAACCCAAAGCGCTGAACAAGGCAGAGACTGCGTTGCCACCAAGAAGCTCCACAGGCAGGTCGTGCAGCTATCACACACACAGAACCTTCAGGAAAGAAACGTGCGTTCTTTTTGAAGCATCATTACATCTCAGTATTAAAGTCAAGAATTTCAATACAATAGGAGAAAAGTTGGAAACATATGCAACTATCCACTAACAGAGAACTCATTAAATATGTCACATTACAGTCATGCACTGCACACTAATGTTTTGGTCAATGACCCCCTACCCCCGGATACCATTAAGATGAAAATGTGAAACCAATCACATCACAGCCATCCTGGCATTGTAGGACACCGCATTGCTCATGTGTCTGTGGCAGTGCTGGGGTAAGCAAACCTACTGTGCTGCCAGTCCCATACAAGTACAGCACACAATCATTAAAACACATAATATCTGCTCCTAACATAGGGCTCTTACTGGCTTATACTACATGTTTTATTATCAGTTTAGAGTGTACCTTTCTTTTTTTAAAATATATATATTTTTAATTTATTTCAGAGAGGAAGGGAGAGGGAGATAGAAATATCATTGATGAAAGAGAATCACTATTGGCTGCCTCCTGCACACCCCACTTTGGGGACTGAGCCTGCAACCTGGGAATGCTGGCAGTAGCCTCATAAATCATGTGTTTACTATGTATTTTAAATGCATCATTTTCTCTTACATTTGATCTAGCCTCATCTATATATATATAAAAGCCTTATATGCTAAGTGTCCGACCCTTGAACCATTTGAACAGTCGCTATGATGTGCATTGACCACCAGGGGCAGACGTGCCAATTGGCAGTTAGCTTGCTATTGGGGTCCAGCTGATCAGGACTGAGCAAGACAGGCCAGACACATCCTGGAGCAATCATGCACCGGAGGGGTCCCTCAGCCTGACCTGGACTCTCTCACAATCCGGGACTGCTTGGGGGATCTCGGAGAGCCAGTTCCGGCCCGATCCCCACAGGAAGAGGGACCCCACTGGTGCAAAAATCTGTGCACCGGGTCTCTGGTGTTGTTTTATAAACTAATGCAGCCTAAGTGCACAGTGTTATGGTCTGCAGCAGTATATAGTAATGTCCTAGGCCTTTACATTCACTGACCACTCACTCAGTGACTCCCAGTCCTGCAAGATCCACTCATGAGAAGTGCCCTGTACAGGTGTTCCACATTGCAAATCTTTTATACAGTATTTTTCCTGTACCTTTTCTAGCACACAAATACTTAGTCACTGTGCTACACTTGCCTACAGGACTCCGTACAGTAGCACACCGTACAGGCGTACAGCCTTGGAGCGGCAGGCTACACCATTCGGGGGAGGTGTGCATAGGCTCTGACACTCAGGGTTGTGTAAGTGCACGTGATCATGTTTGTACAAGGATGAAACTGACTAACATGCATTTCTCAGAACAAATCCCTGTTGTTATGTAGCAAGTGACTATATACTCATTTTCTGCACATTCTACAACCATTAAACTGATACAAAAGAATTATTTAATAGCAAAGAAAGATGATAAATGTCAAGGTAAGAAAGCAGATTATATAGTTATTAGAGGCCTGGAGCACGAAATTCATGCATGATGGGGGGAAGAGGGGGGGGGTGTCCCTCAGTCCAGCCTGAACCCTCTCCAATCTGGGACCCCTTGAGGGATGTTAAACTGCCTGTCAGAAATCCTTCTCATAATCCAGGACTGCTGGCTTCCAACTGCTCACCTGCCTGCCTTCCTGATTGCCCCTAACCATTTCTGCCTGGCAGCCTGATTACCCCCTAACCACTCCCCTGTCAGCCTGATTGATGTCTAACTGCTCTCCTGCCAGCCTGATTACCCCCTAACCACTTCCTGCCAGCCTGATTTATGTCTAACTGCTCTCCTGCCAGCCTGTTTGCCCCTAACTGCCCTCCCCTGCCAGCCTGGTCCCCCCCCAATTGCCCTTACCTGCAGGCCTTATTGCCCTCGACTTCCTTCCTCTGCTGGCTTGGTCACCCCTAACTGCCCTCCCCTTAGGCTTGATCGCCCCCAAGTGCCCTCCCTTGAAAGCCTGGTCCCTCCCAACTGTCCTACCCTGCTGGCCATCTGGTGTCCACATGTGGGCAGGATCTTTGACCACATGGGGGCAGCCATCTTGTGTGTTGGAGTGATGGTCAATCTGCTACTACCTTTTATTAGATAGGATGGAGGCCTGGTACACAGGTGGGGGCTGGCTGGTTTGCCCTGAGGGTGCCCCAGATCAGGATGGGGGTTCCCTTGGGGTATAGGGTGGCCTGGGCAAATGGCCTGTGGTAGTTTGCAGGCCGGCCATGCCCCCCAGTGACCCAAGCGGAAGCTTTGGTATCTGAGATTTATTTATCTTCTATAATTGAAACTTTGTAGCCTTGAGCGAGGCCAGGGCTGGCCAGAGCGGGCAGAAAGCTTGGCTTCCTCCATTGCCAGGGAAACCCAAGCTTCCTTTTTGCTCCATGGCCATAGCCATCTTGGTTGGGTTAATTTGCATACTCTCTCCTGATTGGCTGGTGGGTGTGGCTTGTGGACATAATGTAGTTAGGGTCAATTTGCATGTTTCTCTTTTATTAGTGTAGGTTATTTTTAACAAAAAGTACTGTCTGTGCATATACATATTTATATACAGCTATGAAATATAATACAAGGTAGTTCTAATCTTTTTTGCTACAATTTCTAGAATAAGTAAAAATATGTTTAATAATAAGCAAAATCCCAAATGTTATTTTAAAAAGCATTTTCTTCAGAAAGCAGCATAACTACTTTAACCAATTTTTTAGTGTCCTACCTGAAAGAGCCGTGTGAAGATGTCGAATTCAAAAACTGAAATATAATCATTGCAGGTCAGATCGATCGTGGACTTCAGAGCCATGGCCTCTAGCCCAGAACTAATGGGATGCACGTCATGGAGGGCCTGTCGGAAGCTCTTCCAAGGGACTATCGTCCTGGGGGGGTAAGGAGTGAGAAGGCAGAGTGAGGTGAAAGATAATTCTGGGCAATGCCATAGTCAAGGAAAAGAGCCACATTAACCTCTCAATATCGACTTCAATTCTCTTAAAGAAGAGGAGCTATATTTTGGATTGAGGACAGAAAGGGAGTAAATGATATATTTCTTACCTATCAAATGAGTAAATTCACAACAGAAAGTCTTTTTCTACTGTTCTTTAACAGAATGTCACAAATTAATCAGTTTTATCATCCTTCTTTAGACCTTTGTTCTGTTAGAGAATGACCCAAACGTCACTAATTGAAAGCTGTGTTTAAGCTAACCCTTAAGACCATGTCAAACACAGTGAGTTCCTGAGGAACCCAGACAGGAGGAACCGGCTGGAGGTCAGGAAGAGCAGTTCTCACAAAGGTGAGTGAGAAACTGCTAAACTGAGTATAAGACTGATTACATCTAGATAGGGCTAGCAAGAGATATGATGTGATTTTTCTTCCTTAAGATCTTTAAAACAAATAAAGCCTTTGTATTCACCTGCCTGAAAAAACAAGTAGTGTTTGGAACTCTTTTCTAATGTAGTTATTAATTAAATTAAAGGAATAAAGTAAACTTATTCACATTCTCTTCAACTAAGGTTTTTAAGTTGTGATTATTCTATATTTTATATGTAAACACAATTTAAAAATATAAAAGTGGCATTTAAAGAGACTTACATTATGATCTATATATTCAACTGAAAACTTCAGATCTATAAGAAGAACATTTATATTAAGGTAAAAACATAAGCGTGACTTATTAATCTGTCTATGTAATTTTAAACTTCTGTGTTTCAAAAGACAATATAACAAAGTAGAAAGACAAGCCGTAGACTAGGAGAATATATTTGTAACGTAGTAAAGAATTAGTACCTTACCACAGGAAAAAGACAACACAATAAGAAAATGAAGACGGCAGGAAGAGCAACAGGAAAGTCAGAGTAAGAATCCAGATAGGCCGAAACCGGTTTGGCTCAGTGGATAGAGCGTCGGCCTGCGGACTGAATGGTGCCGGGTTTGATTCCGGTCAAGGGCATGTACCTTGGTTGCAGGCACATCCCCTGTTGGGGGTGTACAGAGGCAGCTGGCCGATGTTTCTCTCTCATCGATGTTTCTAACTTTCTAACTTTCTCCCTTCTTCTCCGTAAAAAAATCAATAAAAATAAATATTAAAAAAAAAGAATCCGGACAGTCGGAAATGTGAAAAGATGCTCAACCTGCCATGGATATTCAGCAAACTACGGTACCGATTCCTACGCCTGGCATTAGACTGCGGAGCGACTGGAATTCACACATGCTGCCTTTGGGAAAGGAACTGGCGCAGCCGTTTTGGAAAGCAATTGGGCAATATTTGGCCAAGCAGAAGATGTGAACCCCCAGCTGGCAAGTCCACCCCGAGGTCTGAAAATACAGACAAGCTCTCGCATCTGAAAACAAATACAATTTTATTCGAGCTGCACTGTTGGCAACAGCAAATAATTTGAAATGTGAATGTCAATTAAAAGCATAATGGAGCCGAAACCGGTTTGGCTCAGTGGTAGAGCGTTGGTCTGCGGACTGAAAGGTCCCAGGTTCAATTCCGGTCAGGTGCACGTATGTTGGTTGCGGGCACATCCCCGGTAGGGGTGTGCAAGAGGCAGCTGGTTGATGTTTCTCTCTCATTGACGTTTCTTGCTCTCTATCTCTCTCCCTTCCTCTCTGTAAAAAATCAATAAAATATATATTTAAAAATAAATAAATAAAAAATAAATAGGGAGAGGAAGAGAGGAGTCTTCCATCAAAGAGCATAGGTTTCACCTGAGGCTATTTCTTTAAGAAAAGGAAAAAAAGATGGGCTGGGGGGTGGTGGTGGTGTGCAGTGTGTTTCAGGGGTTGAGCATCGACCTGTGAACCAGGAGGTCCCGGTTCGATTCCTGGTCAGGGCACATGCCTGGGTTGCAGGCTTGACCCCCAGTGTGGGGTGTGCAGGAGGCAACCTATCATTGATTATCTCTCATCATTGATGTTTCTCTCTCTCTCTCTCTCTCCCTCTCTCTTTCTCTCTGAAATCAACAAAATATGTATTTTTTTTAAAAAGGATGGGGGGACGTTAATATTTATCAAAGCAGGATAGTATTTACAAACAGTCATTATTTTACTGTTTCCCATGTTTTAAGTATTTCATTCATAAAAAACTAAACAAAAACTCACAGTACCAGCCTCAGTTCCTCACAGTTCACACTCAGGACGTGAGACTCACTTTTCCCCAAAGGCTCTCCTCCAGAACTCGGCGGCGTCGGCCTTGGTGATGCGGAACGCGTCGCCCTGGAACAGGCCGCTGGGGAAGATGCCCTTCAGCTCGGCCAGCATGTGGCTGAAGATGAGCGACAGCTTGGTCAGGTTCCGCCTGGAGGGCAGAGACAGTGCGTCAGCCCCGGCCTCGCCGCCCTCAGTGCTCCTGTAAGCCCTTCGCGGCCGCCGCCGCCGGAAGAGGAGAGGAGCTGCTGCCCACCGGACAGCTGGCCCTGGACCGCCGGCCGTGCCCCTGCACGTGCGGAGTTCTTCAATGAACGCCACGGGAAGGTAAGTGTGTTTCTCTTCCTCATGGTTTTCTTAGTGGTTCCTATTCTCTAGCTTCCTTCAAGGTAAGAACACAGCATCTAGTACATAACAGACAAAATCGTGCTGGCTCCCCGCTCTCAGCCCCGCTCCGGCCGCAGCGGGACTGGCCCGGTGGGGAGTACGCTCCCAAAGCCACCAGCGACACTCCGGAGAGCACCTTTGTTCCAAGGAGGACTTCAGAAGCTGTCTGCCCTAACGTCATATGAAAGACCAAACATAACGGCATTCCTGGTATCTTGAATCTACTATGCCCACTATTCCCTCCACTCAAATAGATGCTGGGTAGTAAATAAGGAAAAAATGACAGTGGTACATTTTAGAGATCTGACTCTGGGTGGGTGGGCTCAGGGTGCAATACACAGATCCTGCCGAGGCCAGTTTGGCTCAGTGGATAGAGCGTCGGCTTGCGGACTGAAGGGTCCCGGGTTCGATTCTGGTCAAGGGCATGTACCTTGGTTGCAGGCACATCCCCAGTGGGGGGTGTGCAAGAGGCAGCTGATCAATGATTCTCTCTCATTGATGTTTCTAACTCTTTATCCCTCTCTCTTCCTATATGTAAAAAAATCAATAAAAATATATTTTTTAAAAAATAAACAGCGGTGTAGCTAACTGTGGGATCTGAGGGACAGGCATAGGACTGCTGTAAAATCTTCCAACTTTTCTGCATGAATGAAAAATTTCATAATAAAACATTAGGGGGATGACAAAATCTATTTTAATATTTGTGGACCAATTGATCCTGTAATTCCCAGTGGGAAAACTTCAAAATTATTAACATTTTTTAATATAATGGGTAACAAACTGTACAACATTGTATGATACCATTTTGGGTTTGTAAAATATTCCCCAAATGAGGTCACACTATAACTCATTCTCTGCTAATCAACATGGTATGAGCTGAAAAATTCATATAGATGATGATTATGCTGCTGAAAGGTGATCAGTTCTCTGAGGTACTTCACATACTGACCACTTCAGGGGTAAATGTGCTGCTTTTCCTGTTCATCGTTAACCTGGCAGACAAACAGTGTGATCCGAAGACTGCTGAGTGAGCGCCCTGGGACGGTTTATGGCTCAGCGGCAGCAGCCTGTCAGTGCCCAGCTGTGAAATAGCACAGCGGCGTCTCTCAGCTGCACAGGAAACCATCGAAGTGCTGTTAACGCTCATCTCCTAAACTGCTTCTTAAAAAGGGCAAAACGAAAACCATCACCTGCAGAAGGAGCTCTAAGCCAATATATCTCAAAACACCAACGCCCTTCTTCCCTAGGCACACAGGAGGTGCAGCGGCAGTGTGCTCCTGGCTCCCTGGAGAGGCCCCCACCCACCTCCCGGACACGGAGCTCGTTCCCCAGGTCCACACGAGGATCTCCAACTCGCCCTCCGACTTCCACCGCCGGAGTTCTGAGACACTCCATCTCCTTTTCCCTCTACACGCAATCTTCGATGACCTCACAAACCACCAAAAACTTCACTCAGTGCGCTCAGACCGCCGCTCCAGGGGGCCGCTCGGCGTTCCCTCCTGCTGGCCCGGTGACGGCGCCACGAAAACACCTCACGTTAACTCCGACAGCCGCCACGCGCCGGACACTCGGCTAACGGCAGGTGAACAGCGCTGAGGCAGAACTGACTCGGCCTCCTGCGCAAATGGGAATCCAGGACTGTGACATTCAATAGCTGCCCGAGGTCCTGGGTGCCCAGCCGCTTCCTTTCAGGGACTGGCTATTGCATGCTGCCCACTCAGGTGTACTTGAAAGGCTCTCTTCTTGGTGTGTGGGGAGGGGAACAGGGCTGCCAGTCTTCATTCAGGATCGACTCCACAACTTGTCCATATTCTGCACAGGCTCCGTGTTCTGCTTTGTATCGGCGTCTCTTCCCCAGCCAGGAGGGCACGCAGGGCCGGAAGGTGTCTTCAGCTCCCCTGCACGGCTATAGCATTAACTTCCATCCTGACTCAGAGTTCTCGGTGTGCTGCAGTCCCGGGGTCCTCCGGGCTCTTGTGGAGCGGGTGTGTGTGTGAAAACTTTCCATAGCAACACTAAGACAGCATGTAATCGGCCTTTTCCACCATGCTGACATTTACACTGATGGCATAAACTATGGTGGTGAGGCTGCTGGTGCCCCAATATGAATCAAGACAGTAGCACTGGACTACATACATGGTCACTGCATTCTTCACGGGTCTTGCATCAAATCAAATTGTTAGCTGCATGCAATGTCCTTGATGAAGCAGGAAAGTGACTAATTTTGTTAAATCTTGATGCTCAGGACATTTTTAATGTCCTGCATGACAAAATAAGAAGTTCACAGAGACCACTTCTGTTGCAATATCTTCAGAAAGAGCGCTTTTGCAATTTTAAACCGTTAGTGGAAGTAGCTTCTTTTTTTCATAAAACTTTTTAAATCATTTAATCAGTTTAAGTATACAATTCAGTAGCATTAAGTATATTCACAATGCTGTGTAACTATCACCATTAACCATTTCCAGAATTTTTCATCATCCCAAACAGAATTAGCAGTAACTTCGCACTCGCTCTGTGCCCAGCTAATCTTGCCCTTTCTGTGCTTTCTGTCTCTCTGAATTAGCCTATTCTAAATACCTGACAAAGCGAAATAATACAATAGCTTGTCCTTTTGTTTCTGGCTTATTTCACTTAGCATAACGTTTTTAGGTTCATCTCTGTGGCAGCATGTATCAGAATTTCTTTCCTCATTACAGCTGAGAAAGATTGCCTTGTATGGACAGACCACATTCCTCTACTGAGGGACACCGAGTGGGTCCACCTTGTGGCTATTGTGAGTAATGCTGCTGGAACACGTGTGTGCAAATACCCGTTCAAGCCTCTGCTTTCCAGTATTGGGTAAACATCTAGAACAGACAGAGCAGATGGTAGTGCTATTTTCAACATTGTGAGGAACCGCCCATCGCTGGACAGTGACCGCACCACTTCTCAGTGCGGCCAGCGGTGCCCGCGGCCCAGTGTCTCCAGAGCTCCGCCAACACTTACCAGTTTCCCTTTCGGGCAACACCACCCGAATGGGTGTGAAGTGCTATCTTATGGTTTTGATGTGCATTTCTCTAAAAACTAATACTACTCAGCCTCTTTTCATGAACTTATTGCTAATTGTGTAACTTCTTTGAAAAAATATCTATTCATATATTTTGCTCATTTTTTTCATTAGACTGTTCTTTTGTTGTTGAATTGTAGTTCTGGATATTAATCACATATGTGATTTACAAACATTGCTGCCCAATTTTTGGGTTTTGTTTTCACTCTCCTTAATGTCCTTTGATGAATAAAGTTTTTTTTTAATTGAATTTATTGCCGAAACCAGTTTAGCTCAGTGGATAGAGCGTCGGCCTGGGGACTGAAGGGTCCCAGGTTCGATTCCGGTCAAGGGCATGTACCTTGGGTGCGGGCACATCCCCAGTAGGGGGTGTTCAAGAGGCGGCTGATGGATGTTTCTCTCTCATCGACATTTCTAACTCTCTATCTCTCTGTCTTCCTCTCTGTTGAAAATAAATAAAAATATATATTTAAAAATAAAAATAAAAAATAAATAAAATAGAATTTATTGGGGTGACGTTAATAAAATTATGCAGGTTTCAGGTATACAATTGTGAAACACATCATCTGTATATTGTATGTTTACCACCCAAGTCAAGTCTCCTTCCATTGCCATTTATCCCCACTTTCCCTTCTTCTACCTCCCTCTAACCCCCAAAGCATAAAGTTTTACATTTTGATGAAGTCCAATTATCTGATTTTTTTCCTTTGTCTGTGATTTGGTGTCATCATCAAAAAAAAAAAAAAAAAAAATCATTGACCAATCTGAGATCATGTTTTCTTCTAAGCCTTTTATATTTTAGCTCTTAAATTTAGATCTTTGATTTTGAGGTAATTTTTATATATGCTGTGCGTGATGTCCAGCTTCATTCTTTTGCATGTAGATATCCATTTCTCCCAGCACCTTATGTTGAAAAGACTGTCTTTTCCTTCAAGTGGACTTGGAATTCTTGTTGAAAATTAACTGCCCACGTGTGAGGGTTTATTTCTGGGCTCTCTATATTTCTGTCCTTCTGCCAGCACCACACGATCCTGATTGCTGTGGCTTTGTAGTAAAACTCTGAAATGAAGAAATGTGAGTCCTCCAACTCTGTTCTTTTTAAGATTGTTTTGGCTATTCAAGGTTTCTTGAGATTCTTTACAAATTTAGGATCAGCATGTCAATTTCTGCAAAAAGGGCAACTGGGATTCTGATCGGAATTTTGGCGGGCTGTAGATCAATTTGGAGTACTGCCATTTTTAAAAATTTATCTTTACTGTTGAAAATATTGCAGATGTCCCTGTTTCTCCACTGACCCCCTCCATCCTGCACCTGCCCCCCCAAGGACTTACCACACTACTGTGTGCCCAGGGGTCATGCATATAGGCATACAAGTTCTTTGGCTAGTCTCTCCCAGCCCTTCTCCCCGCTTCCCTCTGAGACTCCACACTCTGCTCCATGCTCCCATGTCTCTGGATCTATGTTGTTCATCATTTATTTTGTTCATTGGATTCCACATATGAGTGAGATCAGTGATACTTGTCTTTCTCCGACTGGCTTATTTCGCTTAACATAATGCTGTCCACGTCGCTCCATGCTGTCTCAGAGGTAAGAGATCCTTCTTTTTCACATCTGCATAGTACTTCACTGTGTAAATATACCACTTCTTATCCACTCATCTGCTTGGACACACGGGCTGTCTCAAGTTCTTAGCTGTTGTAAACTGCGCTGCTATGGACACAGTGGTGCATATTGCCGCCCTGATACTGAGTCTCTCACTTCAGAACCATGGGATGTCTTTCCATTTATTTAGGTCTTCCACTTCTCTCAGCAGCTTCTGTAGTTTTCAGTGCAGATGTTTTGAATTTATTCCTAACTAGTTTATTCTTTCTGATGATATTGTAAATGGGATTGCTTTCTTAATTTCATTTTTGGACAGTTTATTGCTGATGTATAGAATACAATTGATTTTATATATTGACCTTGTATCCTGTACTTTGCAGAACTTATTTACTGGTTCTAGTCAGGGTTTTTTTAGTGGATTCCTTAGGATTTTTTATAAACAAGATCATTTTATGTGCAAATAGATAACTTTACTTCTTCCTTTCCTTTATGGACACATTTCTTTCTTTATCCTGTTTACTTGCTCTGGCCAGAACCTCATCTGTGGGAACAGAAGCTATGCTGAATAGCAGCGGTGAGACCAGACATCTTCATCTTGCTCCTGAGGTCGGGAGGAAGCTTGCAGCCTGTGGCGTGAGTGGAACTCCATTTACTTAAAGGGATAACTAACACAGTACGGTGGCTCAGACGGTATTCGGCACAGTTTCTCCACAACGAATGAAGTGACCTGTCACTTTAAGGAAAACAACGGATAGTTTGTGTTGCCAGTGATACACTCGAGAATTTTGGAAAATTTCCATCCACTGTGAGCTTAACAGCTTCCAATAAAACTTTTCTAATGAGACTTAATTAATTAATGTGATTGTACAATGATGTGTCAACACTTTAAAAAACCTACATAACCTAGTAATATTTTCCAAGTGACTAATTTCTGATATTACAAAATCATATATGAATAAAAGACTAATTCTAAGGGCAAGACCATGGATTTTAATGTAATAAAGTACAAAATATTCTTTGAGGTGGTCTAAAAGATTTGCAAAAATGCAAAACTCTTTTAAAAAATATTTCCAAAAAAAATTCCCATAAAAATGTTTCCATGTTAAAATGTAACGGGCTTATCACTGCTATTTTAAAATGTTGTTTAAATGTTATTTTATCTATTTAAATATTTTTAATTTCTTAGTTTTAATACTGAATATACCAGTATAACCCAAATATACAAAGCTCTTGAATGTCCTCAGTGATTTTTAGAATGTAAAGGATCTTAAAATTAAAAAAGTTTGAGAAAAAAAATTACATTAATAATCAAAGCTCTGGACAACCAGATCTACAGCTTTAAGAAACAAAGTACCTTAGGCGCTAGCTAGCACGCAGCCGACCCCAGTGCTGCTGCTTCCTAAGGAGCCGCAGGCGTGACTGCGTGTGCCCCAAGGAAGCAGCAGCTCGGGGCGACTTCGACCTCCCAGCTCTGCCCCGAGGGCTGGAGCGGCTGGGGCTCCAGCAGCTCCTCTGTGGCCACTAGGCCCAACCTCCAGCCTCCGGACACGGGGCTTAGCACTGCGCTGGCCCGGGTCCCTGCGTCTAACCAATCATGTAATAAACAGCGTTTTTCAGGATTTCTCTTGTGATTCCACGTGGTACCTAAAAAGTATCCCATTTTTTTTCCTTCTTTTAAAAATAATTTGATTGATTACATATTCATTGTATAAAATGTTGAAAATATAAACAGAAAGAAAATTAAAATTACCTCTAATTATAATACCTAGAAATAACTACTTTTGAGATTTTGGTATAATTTCTCTTCCTCCCTCTCTCTCTAAAAATCTATTTTTAAAAATCTTAAGGAGAAAAAACGCCCTTTTAGAAAAACTCTCCTATGGCAGCCTGCTATCTAGAGGAGAAGGTGTAGAGGTCAAAGAGCAGCTCTTTACAATCCATTCCAACCTGTATTTCCAGCCAGACAGACTGCGCGTGTCCGGAAACATCTCCCTGCCCTGCGTGAGAGGCCGCCCCTGCACCCTCTGCCTAGAGAAGTCCTCCCCCCAAACGCTGGCTCCCATAACACCTTCTCGGCATCACACTCCCTAACGCCACGAAGCAAAACTATTTTCACAGCATTTTGTACATATCTCCGCTGAAGCATGTATCATGCTGCATCATAATTAAACGTGTAACTCTTCTTTTCACCTAGAATTTAAACAGAACCTAGTTCAGTGTAGATGGCAATTAAATTTTTAAAGTTCTGGTACCTAATAAAGTAAAATTATATTTTTAATAATTTCTTTAAACTCAACAATACAAAACTAGTTAGCTAAGGTCCATACAGTCAAGGTTTTAACATAAGTCATGAAATTAAAATAATTAAAAGGAATAAAGTTCATTTTCATATAAACTAGAAGTTACAAATGTTCCTACACATTGAATTTAGTCATCCGGTATCTTTCCAAAGAAAAAGAAAAGAACTAGTGTCCAGACCGACCCTGAGCGGTGTGCGGAGCAAAGATCGCAGGAAGAGTGATGTGCATCAAATGGTGAGAAACAGAACCAGAACAGCAGCCTCTGGGCACGGACATCAGGCAGTGAGCTCCTGCTTAATGCCCTCAGGAAGCACCGCCCCTACTTCCAGTCACTCCTCAGGAGTAGTTTATTCCCTAAAAACAACTAGTGGAACTTATACTTTTTACTTGTTTTACATGAGTTAATCTTTACTTTCAATTGAATAAGACCAAATACAACTATATCCACATACACTGAGTGGCCAGATGATGATGATCTCTGAACACAATAATCTGGCCCTCAGTGTGTATCCTATAGAATTAAAGGCTAATATACAAATTGTCCCCTCGACCAGGAGTTGGACCAGCAGGAAGGACAGCCAACCGTCCATGTCCCCTCCTCCTGGCCAGGCTGGCTGGACCCCACCCATGCATGAATTCATGCACCAGGCCTCTAATATATATATATTCAGCCCAGCCTGCACCCTCTCCAATCTGGCACCCCTCGAGAGGCGGCAAGGGGGTGGGCGGGGGAGAAGAGAGGGGGGAGGGCGGAGGGAGGATCCTACTGGGATCGGGCCTAAACGGGCAGTCGGACATCCCTCTCACAACCCAGGACTGCTGGTTCCCAACTGCTCACCTGCCTGCCTTCCTGATTGCCCCTACTGCTTCTGCCTGCCAACCTGATCACCCCCTAACCACTCCCCTGACAGCCTGATTGATGCCTAACTGCTCCCCTGACAGCCTGCTCACCCCTAACTGCCCTCCCCTGCCAACCTGATCCCTCCCAAGTTCCCTCCCATACAGGCTTGGTTCTCTCTCCCCCCACAAACTGCTCTCCCCTGCAGGCCTGGGACAACCCTAACTGCCCCCCCCACCGCCTGATCACCCACAACTGACCCCCACTGATGGCCTGCTCACCCCCAACTGGCTCCCCCTGCTCATATGCTTACCTCCAACAGCTCCTGCCATCCCATCTATGTAGCTTCCAACAACCAATAACAGGATAGCCAATATAGTTTTTGGTACTTAGTAAGAATAAAAAAATATATAGTGATCCCTCAAATATTTATTGAATTGACTTACATTTGCCAATATCTATTCTATTTGAAAAGTCACTTTACCTATAAAAGAAATGTCATTTCACTACATTTCATTTAAAAGTTATCTAAACATTGCCTCAATTTGTCTTCCTATTATCCCATACTTACAATTTATCTAATATGCTACAGCTTCGGCAAAATCTGGCCTGATTATACGTCAGCTTAACACTCAGCCTCTTTCTTTCAAACTCTCACCTACCCACATAACTTCATGACCTGCAGGGTCTCTGGGGGACCTACTGCTCACACTCCCCTTCCTGACTGTAAGTGATGGCTTTCCACAGGAAGCGAGGGACAGTCCAGCGTCCTCGGGGCAACCTTTTCTCTAAGCCCGCCTTGAAATCCAGTGTCAGCTCTGCATTCTTGTTGACAGAAAATTAAAACCTACCGAACCACTTCTACATGCCACCCACACAAGTGGCCACAGACCTGCACAGCATTTGTGTAGGACCTCCATTACCTCGGCTGAGAATTTTCCTCGTACATTCTTTCTTTACCCTCCTTGAAGAGGCTTATGGTCTGCTTGGTTTTCTTCATCAAATTCTCCATGAACACCCTAAAATACTCATTTTCTCCGAGCGTCTCCATCTTCCCCTCGTATCTCGCCAGGACAGTGCGCAGGTGCTGGTAGGTGTCCGGCAGCAGGTCTAGGATGTAGGGCGGGCTGTTCTTGAGCGCCAGCTTCGGGCTCTGGCACAGCCGCACCACCTGAAACAAATGGGAAAGAGGGGCTATTACGTGGAGGATCTTAAGGACAAGCTCCTTTTCTACGTTAAAAAAGTTATAAAATTTGTGCTATTGCAAAATTGTGAAACATGGATAAGAATACAAGAATGATCCAAACTCCTGTCCACAGGCTATCAATTTACTTTTTTAAAATATATTTTTATTGCAGGGACCGGTTTGGCTCAGTGGATAGAGGCTTGGGGACTGAGGGGTCCCGGGTTTGATTCCGGTCATGTACCTTGGTTGCGGGCATATCCCCAGTAGGGGGTGTGCAAGAGGCAGCTGATCAATGACTCTTTCTCATCGATGTTTCTAACTCTCTATCTCTCTCCCTTCCTCTCTGTACAAAATCAATAAAATATATTTTTAAAAATATGCATATAAAGAATGAAAAAAATAAAATATATTTTTATTGATTTCAGAGAGGAAGGGCGAGGGAGAGAAACACCAACGATGAGAGAAAATCACTGATTGGCTGCATCCTACATGCTCCCTCCCAGGGGAATCTGGGACCCTTCAGTCCGAAAGCCGTTGCTCTACCCACTGAGCCAAACCGGCCAGGGCCTGTGACCCAAGTATGTGCCCTTGCCCAGAATCAAATCTGGGACCCTTCAGTCCGAAGGCCGATGCTCTACCCACTGAGCCAAACCGGCCAGGGCCTATTTACATTTTTACTGGTTCCCCTAGAAGCGTAAAACCAAATGGGAGGCTAATGATTCAGACAACATGTAACAGCCTACACAACCGAAGCAGGAAGGCGGGAAGGCGGAAGGAAGAGCGGATGAAATACGCAGGTTCCTGGTGCTGCGGCTCCGCCCCGAGAGCAGGAGTCTCAAGCCCAGTGCGATGGCCCCGGAGGAAAGTGTGTGCGGGTACCGCCTCTGAACAGCCGCCAGGGGGCAGGGCGGAGAGGCTGTGGACCCCTCGAAGCATGGAGCTCACTGACATGCCTTTCTTCTCATAAACACAGGTCTCTCAGAATTTGCCTAGTAATTTTTTATTTTAATTTTTTAAAAATATGTTTTTATTGATTTCAGAAAGAGAAGAAGGAAGAGAAAAACACCGATGTGAAAGAGAAACAAGCCTCAGTTGATGTTTCTCTCTCCCTCTCCCTTCCTCTCTGAAATCAATAAAAATATATTTTTAAAAGTAAAAATAAATAAATAAAATAGTGATATTGACCAAAGACAGTAAGTAAATGGCCAAATGGAACAGGAGAAAAAAAACAAAAAACAGAGATTCACACATGTGCCGAAATTCAGAATCAGACGTGGCACAGAAGATAGAGATCAAGAGGAAAACTACGGGACATTGCTGTCTTTATGCAATAACTAAATTAGGCCTCCCAGGCCCGGCAGGTGGCTCAGTAAGAGCATCACCCCGTTCACGAAAAGGCAGCGGGTTCCATCCCAGTCGGTCGGGGCACACACCTAGGCTGAGGGCACCATCCCTAGTCAAGGCATCTAAGGGAAGTAACCGATAAAGGTTTCTCTCTAATACGCATCTCTCTCCCCCTCCCTCCCTCCCTCCCTCCTTCCCTCCCTCCCTCCCTCCCTCTGTCTAAAAACAAAACTGAAAAGTTTGTGGGAAAGCAGCTTAAGGCAGCTCAGGGCTGCAGGGAAAGGCACTGCCCGCACAGCAGTGACACAGGCCTCGGTGGCCGCTGCCCATGGTCCCGTCCCAGAGGCCTGGGTCTGGCTGTGCGGCTCCGGGCAGGGCAGCAGCCATAGAAAGGTCCCAGGTTCGATTCCAGTCAAGGGCATGTACAGTCAAGGGTACATTCCCAGTAGGGAGTGCGCAGGGGGCAGCTGATCGATGTTTCTCCCTCATCGATGTTTCTAACTCTTCTTCTCCCTTCCTCTCTGTAAAAAATCAATAAAATATATATATTTTTAAAATAAAGTTGTACCTGCTGATTTTGATTTTTTCTCAATGTATCCATTCAACAAATACAGGGTGGGACAACATAGCTTTACAGTTGTTTGTTTGAGAAAATAATACAATAATTAATAAATATAAGAATAAACTCAATCTGAGAGAAATAAGGCAACAAACAGCAACTTTTTAAAAAATATATTTGTATTGATTTCAGAAAGGAAGGGAGAGAGAGACAGAAACATCAGTGATGAGAGAGAATCATTGATCGGCTGCCTCCTGCACACCCCCGACTGGGGACTGAGCCCACAACACAGGCCTGTGCCCTTGACTGCAATGGAACCTGGGACCACTCAGTTCACAGGCCGATGCTCTATCCACTGAGCAAAGACTGGCTATGACCAAACAACAACTTTTTAAAAAATCAACATGAGCCCTGGCTAGTTGGCTCAATGGATAGAGCATTGGCCTGCAGACTGAAGCGTCCCCTCCAGCCAAGGGCACAGGCCTGGGCTGCAGGCTCCATCCCCAGTCGGGGGTGTGCAGGAGGCAGCAGATCAATGATTCTCTCTCATCACTGATGTTTCTGTCTCTCTCTCCTTCTGCCTTTCTCTCTAAAACCAATAAAAATAATTTTTAAAATAACCTGTATCAGCCCTGACTGGTTTGGCTCAGTGGATAGAGCGTCGGCCTGTAGACTGAAAGGTCCCAGGCTCGATTCCAGTCAAGGGCATGTACCTTGGTGCGGGCACATCCCCAGTAGGGAGTGTACAGAAGGCAGCTGATCGATGATTCTCTTTCAACGATGTTTCTAACTCTCTATCCCTCTCTCTTCCTCTCTGTATAAAATCAATGAAAAAAAATATATATATATAAAGAAAATATCCTATATCAGTCATTTACCTTTAGTAAATTTCTTAACATCTGGGTCTCAATTCTCCACCTGGAGAAGGAGACGATGCTGCCTCATTGGGAAAGAGCACGGTGTCCAATAAAGTGGGCTTTCAGAAGGCCAGTCCTCCCCCTGTCCACAATGCTCACGCAGGGGGCAGGAGTGTCTATGATGATGCAGTGGTGGGCCTCACATAACCCTTTGCTGACTCCTAGAGTCTGATACCATTATTCCTACCATCCTGGCCAAGCCATCACTACCTTCCAGTTCTGCATGGCCTCTGACTAACTGGCTCCCACGGAATTGCGAACAAACAGTGGGCCGCCCAAGAACAGGCTGACCAACAACCTACAGATGCTACGGAACCACCCCTTCCAAGATCCAAACCAGGCAGAGCTCCCGACAAAAGCACTTTCATTTATACCCAGGCCAAACCCAGGAATCCATAAGTTCTTCCTAAAACCTAAAAGCAGCTGGATTACCACCACACGATCATGTTAAAATGTAATGTTTGTCTAAGATCTCTGGGAAGAAGATATATTTCCTTTCAGTAACAACAACTAAAAACTAAACTAACATTGCTCTGATCTTACATATACTGTCCAAGCTATAACATGCAATCAATAAATGTTCATATAACACTCCACAATAACATACCAGACTTACACTATCACAAGCTTAAAAAACGTTTCAAAATGCTAGATCAATTTGCATTTCAAATTAGTACTATGGACCTCCCAGGAGTGTTCTCTCTCCTCAGAATGTGAGCTCGGACAAGGTCCTTTGTAGACTAAGTGTCTGACCAGGGAAACCAGCACTCCACCAACAACCTGAATGTCCAATACTAACACAGACAATAAAGAAAATACCGTGATCCCCCGAAAATAAGACATCCTCATAAAATAAGACCTAGCGCATGGGAAGATAAGACATCTCCTGAAAATAAGACCTAGCGCAACTTTGGGAGAAAAAATATAAGACACTGTCTTATTTTCGGGGAAACGGTGTATAGGTTGAACTATTTTTTGGATATTAAAGTCTTCTGAAAAGAAAAAAATGCCTTAAATATTTATAACCTATAAGAAAACAAAGTTTCAAAAAGGCTCTGTGGCTGAAACCAGTTTGGCTCAGTGGATAGAGCGTCGGCCTGGGGACTGAAAGGTCCCAGGTTCGATTCCGATCAAGGGCATGTACCTTGGTTTCGGGCACATCCCCAGTAGGGAGCGTGCAGGAGGCAGCTGATCGTTGTTTCTCTTTCATCAATGTTTCTAGCTCTCTAACTCTCTCTCTTCCTCTCTGTAAAAACTCAATAAAATATATATTTTTTTAAAAAGGCTCTGAATAATTCAACAAATTATCAACCAAAAGTTAACAAATGTCGAAGGCCACAGCAGCCTGCCCTGTTACTTAGTGAATTTTAAATCGGCAGTCATCGTTAACTTAAAAACTCACCAGATAATTCCTGCCAGATAAGTTTCCTGACCGTCTGATCTCTGTGGCCAGCTCTGTGCTTCCCGAGCCTCACCACAGTAAGAAGGCTGCTTTTCCCGCGGGCACATGCACAGCATCCCGCGGGCATGAGAGGAGTGTGCCTGCTCTGGGACCCGCAGCACCTGCAGCCGCCACACCTCCACTCAGAGCAGCTTTCTCACGGGCCTGCCTCCTCTTTCTTCTGCCAACGCTCAATGATCAATAAGAAAACTTTGGAAAGTGCCATGACCACACTGCAGAGGTATAACATTGTGCTTCAAAACTGCTACATTTTTTTCGAACAATAAAGGTTTATAAATAAGTAGCGATAAGGACAGAATGAAAAGCACCTTTAAGAAAAAAAAGACACGTTTGTGGCCTTAAAAAGCTTATGTTCACAGTATATGACCAGCTGGTAGAGCAAAGCAAGAGACCGTTGTTTATCCTCCCTGGCACTGAAATTCTTCACAATAAAAATAAAGAAAAAAACATTTTGGGGAAAAAAAACAAAAATGTGCTACATTTTTGAAAATTAGAAAAGCTAGAGAGAACAGTGCCTAACCTAATCCTATTCTGATCATAAAGGAACCTGTATTTATAATTATGCTGAAAACTGTAAGTATATAAAATGAGTATTACTTTTTTCATCTATTTTTACTGAGTTCAAAGAGGCAGGGAGAGGGAGAAAGAGAGAGAGAAACATCAATGAGAGAGAATCATTGCTCGGCTGCATACCCCACACTGG